CAGGAATCAAATTAGGACTTAGCAGGCGGGCAGAGTTGGTGGTGGCGCTTGGCAGCGCCCGCACGTCGTCCCTGCCGCCGTGCGCCGTGTCCCGCGCCCGCTCCGCACTCACCCCGCAGGATGGAGCCCTCCTGGGCTGGCTGCATAACCAGACTTTCCGGCTGGTTGGCCTGGCTTCTAGGAGAAAGTTGTTCCTGCTTTACTCCAGGAAAAGGCACTGGAAAACATTAACCACGTATCAGTTAGGGCATGGCCCGGCAGCTTGGGGCCTTCGCGGCTCCCCTTGCTTTTTGCAGCTGTGGCTCGGGACTTGCACAGTTTGCACCTCCTCAGTGGGGGTTTCTGACACCCCCTTGGGCACTGGAAAGGGCTGAGGACCACGGTGCTATCAGCGAGCGGGTAGGGACGCGGGGGCTGCCCTGGTGCCTCCTCGCACGGCTCCCACTGCAGGGACGGGGTTTCCTCCCTGCAGCCTCAGTTGCCCAATGCCTCGTGCTGTTAGGAAACACTTCCAAATGTGCAGACTAAACACTTTCTTTGTTCACTTCAGGCCGTTTACTCTTTATCCTACCAGCCTCGGAGAACGGCACTATATTTCCTTCCTTCAATTACGGCCGTAGCTGGAGGGTATTTATAGCTGGGGATGTGTTCCTGACAGAGCTGCCGCTTCCCTGCGCTGCACGAATTTAGCTCCCTCCATCTCTTCTCTCCCAGTGAACTAATCCTTTCATCCTCTTATCAGGTCTGGTTCCTTCTGCATTTCCTTGGCTTTCGTGGTGCTTCTCCTTTCCCGAGCGAGACACATTGGGCCACAGCACACAGGCCATCAGGGTTGATGCGAAGCCATCACAGACAGGCAAGCCTGAAGAACAACCCACAAGTGCCCTCCCCGCAGCTCGTGATGCCTCCCAGTTCCTTACCCAGTTTCTTGGGGTCCATGGCCAGCGGCAGGCCCATGGTGATGGAGCCAACGGGAACCTTGGCGTGCTCGGAGCTGTACGGGGTATGGAGCTGGATGGGCATGCCCTGGGACACAGGAGGAGAGGTCAGGACGTGCTCCCAGCCCCCTGCGAGGGCTCTCTGTGCTCGGCCCTGCTCCCTTACCTGCGAAATGGACCCGACGGGTCTCTCCAGCACAGAGGGATGCTTGGTGGAGGAGATGAGGGGAGGAGGGTTCGAGATGCTCGTCAGCCTTTGCAGCCCGGACCGAGAACTGTCATGCAAGTTTAGTGGGATGGGGTGTCCTGAGGGGGGAAACACAGTGTTAGCAAGGCCAAGGAAAGACAAAGCAGCAGCATGTAAAATATGAACAAAATAGTGCAAATGTCTGAGCAAGGAGGGGATGAATATGGGAAACTGGCTGGCTGTGACCCTGGCCTGGGACCCGAGCTGCATCATGACTTTGCAAAGTGGAATAGCTTCAATTACTGCATCCAACCTCTGAGCCCTGCAGCTGGGGAGGGACAGCAGGCTGGGAGCAAACCTGGGCAGCTGTGGACCGAGGTGGCAGTGGGGCCACCTGTGTGTCCCCTCTGTCACAAACCACGTTCCCAACCAGACTAGCTGGTCCTTCTAGGACCTCAGTGCTCAACATGGGGCAAAACCAGAGGTGTCAGCAGGTTTGTGCTGCAGCCTCTTTGCCCACCCAGGAAGAGAAGGGCTGCACTGATTTAAGCGAGCGATCTGTGATGCTGGCTGCAATCACAGCACCGGTCCCCAGCCTCGGGCCACCACAGACACGCACAGCCAGACAGCGCGCACGTGCGCACGGGGACGGCATCCGCTTGCCTGGAGGGTTGTACTGGAACAAGTGGGGCTCCGCCTGGGGAGAGGTTTTTATCACATCCCGAGGGTAGGACAGCACAGGAGGCCAGCACGAGGCAGCCGTCTGCTCCGCGCTGAGCTTCTGAGCCTCTGCGATGGACGAGAAATGCGCAGGCTTTTCTGCAAGGGAAACAGAAAGGGAACGGTTTGCCGATTGACCCGAGATGCCCCACGGACGTGTTGTCTCGGCGTGGAGAGCCGGGCACAGCGCCGGGAACCCGCGCACTGCCAGCACCGCAGCATCGCTCCAGCACCCGCCTCCCGCACGCTTCTTCCTTCTTCTTCCTCACTTCTTCCTTCAGCTTCCTCACGCCTTTGCCTTCAAACGTGTTAAAACACTGGGTTTCTGTACTCGAACTGTCGGGACACGAGGCTGCCCCCAAAGCACCAGCGTGGCCCATCTGCCTTCGCTGCACAGCCTGGTCACGTCCTATCAAACCGCACACGGGGCTGGGGGAGCCCTGGGCGCACAGTCCCCCTTCCTGCTGCGGGGACAGCGGGGAGCAGGGACACAGAGGTAACCAGCTCATTTCCCAACCACGCTGCAACACAAAAGCTGGTCCCTTCCTAAGGGATGGCTGCTGATTATAAACAATCTGCAGGCTGCTGGAAGAGACCAGAAATAAAGGCGTCAGCTTGTTGGACAACCAGGGAATAGCTCGCTCTGCTTGGAGTGACCAGATGTTCGCTGAGCACCTGGGACAACTGTGTTTTATGGCACAGTCAAAGGCAAATGAAGATCAAGAGGAGCTCGCGGGCGCGAAGGCGGGATGCCTCCGTGGGGAGCGGGGCTGTGTTTTGTTCCAGTGCAAAGCACCTGGGCCCGAGGCAGGAAAGCTTCCTGAAATTACCTGGCTCGTTATCCTGGATGCCACACTGGGTTCACCCTGACTACAAAAAAAAAAAAAAAAAGGGGGTTCAGGGCCAAAAAGTGCCTATAGTGCACGGGAAATCCCACTTGGGACATTTAAAGAGCAGCTCCCTGCTTGTCCTGAGCACCAAACCCTGGCCGTGCTCTGCATGGTGCTCCATGGGGAAGAGGCACTTCGGCTGCCACGGGGGCAGCCTCGCAGACAAACGCTCTGCTGAGCAGATGGATGAGAGCCTTCTCTTGAATGGATTACAGGCAGGTTTGGGAGGATTTGCTTTTAATCGATAAACACTTAATTTTGCACTGCCCTTTTCCCCCAGACCCACCTGTGTAATGTCTGGAGTGACCAGAAATTAGAAGCCAGGCAGTAAACAATAGCAATCACAAATGAACTCAGCCTTTAACCATCAATTTTTGATAAAAATAGATGCCTGAATCCTGCTAAGCTTAATAATAGGGCAAGTAGATTATCAGAGGCCCAATTTAATGAGGCTTTACTGCATTATCGTTATTAATGCTCAGTGTACTCAGAAGCTGGGAGATTACTCTTGTCCTCTTCAGTGAGACAAGAAATCCATTACGAGCGCGCAGCGGTGCCCGGCGCACTCAGCTGCAGCCCGGCGGGGCTGGACCGCTCTCTTCCCACGCCAAATCCCTGCCAGGATCCCTTCATCCCCCCAGGATGAGGGGCACCCAAGCACATCCTCCAAGGCCAGTGGAGATGGGCCCGGGATGCCGCGTTGGAGGCTCTCCCTGATTTTCCCCCTAACGCTGCTGGTTTTCCAGCCCTGCAGCGCATGGGAGCGCAAGCTGGGATGGCAGCCTGAGGATGCTCCTGGAAGCCAAGGCAGCGCGAGCCAAGCTTTTGTGCACCCTGGATGGCTCTTGGAAAGATGCGTCCTCCTCCCCTCCCCACGGGAGCTGTTCCCTCCCCTGTGCTCCTCTGGAGCCTATGAAATGTGGCCAGTTCCTAATTGCCCTCGCATTAGAGGGTGGCTATAACTCATCCAGCTTTTGATAAAATAGCACTTACACGGGGAAGAGAGAGTTCCTATTACCGTTTATCAAGCCCCTGGAATCGGAGCGAAGGAGTCAGAGTTTATACGATCCGTCATCCAAATTAATGCTCTTGGCTTCCCATCTCCTACCGGGGCCAAATGAAACACAACTAAATCAGCACAAAACAGCCCGCTGGCTTTCAAAGCGCCGAGCGATAACCCCAGAAACGCCCGGCAGCTCCGCGAGC